GCTCTGACGGTCAGTCGCGTCAAAAAAATCACTGACATTACTTTCCGGACAAACCCTGTAAATTAACCTCACTAGGAAATCCACTCGATTATTCTCAATAAGGTTTAGTCTCAACTGTACCACTGTGTTGTCCTCGTTACTGAGATGAATGAAGACGTTGCCTCGTTGCTGAGATTATGAATAAGATAAGCACTTGCATTTAGTCCTTTGACGACAATGCAAGTCCTTATTTTATTTTGAATTTTTGAGTTATAAATAATGCCACAACCACCCAGGTTTTTAATAGCATTGTCCAGTGGCCAAGGTTCCTGAATCAGGAACTAATGATATTGCCGTCAGCATCCCAGCTATGTTCCTGGCTATAATAGCCGAGGTGCCTTTATTATAATGCAAATCTGAACCACCGGGATAGTGAGACCTGTCATTGCTCTATGTAGATTCGGTCATCCTTCGCGAAGTCTCTTTCACGCCTTTTCCACGTTATTTGTTGAGCAACCTAACGATTGCCCCCGACCCAGCTCGCAGAAAGGTTTGAATTCACAGGTCTTTAGGACTTCCAGGAGGGATCGTCGACAAGGGCAGCAAAGTGGGCGCTCTTGGCATCACTGCTTCCGCTTTCCTTTGACGACGACCCACTCCTCGGCCGCCAGACCTGTATTTTACCTGTCGAAGATGGTCTTCTCAGCAATCACATCGGTCTCCTCTACATGTACCGCTATCGGATGCAGCTTAGGCAGCTCCTCGGCCGGGAGCACATTAGGAATATTGTTTATGATAATATCGTCGGATAGGCTTTTCAACCAGTTCGACTGGCAACAAATAATTGCTGCGCAATCCCTGTCCCAGGTACAGGTGAAGATGGGGGCCAGCGTACCCTCAGGGAGCGCAGAATGCTTCCCCTGATCAGCTTTCTGATCTCCGCCATTTCAACGGCACCCAATTTCTTATCAGGATAGATTCTGGGACGAAGACTTGATAATACCCTTGATTGCCTGAACATATAACCTTTGGTCTACGACTTTAGGCTTCTTGCCCAAGCAATCTTTCGTCGGGCTGGGAGTATTGTGTGCCGGCTTAGCACGCTTGAGCGAGTCAGCACATTCCCCCTTGCCCGTTGGATTCGAACCAACCGCAGGAGGGTTCTGGGCTTTGGCAGTCTGTTCCCCTCCCGCAGCTTCTTATAGCGACGCCTAGCGGCGCCGTTATAACGGACTCGGGCTTTAGTCTGCGGATGAGGCTAACCCCGCGTTGGGTGTTTTTTCCGGTCGTTCACTTTCTAGGGAAACCACGCTCTGAAGGACTTCGTTAAAATCAATATTTTGTAAATTCGTGTTTATTTTTGGTCCTACAAGTACGCGGTCTTATCCAGTGCAGTTAGTTGCATTTGCTCGGAGCTCGGTGCGTATCATATTCCCGGAAGGCGCCCGTTGTTTTTCTGTTATTTTATAAAACGTTCTTAAATCTTTGCTATATCATCATGATATTAATTGAATGAAATAAATTAAATAATTAATAAATAAGTTATAAATATTATGAATAAATTATTATGAATAATTAAATAATTAGTAACTTTACTCTAGAAAAAGAAAAGTAAATTTTTTTTATTCAATGACAAATCTCGAAGAAAGTATGTGTATGTCCTAAAATATCAATTTTTATAATTAAAATTATTCAAAGAAGAATTGCAAAATTAAATCAATTAAATCAAATGGATCTGAATAGTATATCAAGGTTTAACACAAAAACATGTTCAGGCAATTGTTAATGATCGTTGAAATTACTATCCTGCAATTCGCGACCCTTACAGCCATGAATCCCTAAATGACCGGCGCTGAACACAACTGCTTTGAGGACCAGAAGCAACAATGGATCCGATAAATTTAAGTTGAGCACCTGTGAAATCATTGTTATTTTTTAAATTCGACTAATTTTACTTATCTGTATAGTGAAAATAGTAGAAAAGTTTTATTAAAATTGTTGTAATATTAAAATTCGTTAGTAAAGGACCATAAAGAGCCGAAGTCGTTCTTTATGGTTTACGGCTCTTTATGGTCATTTACTCAAAAATTTTGATTTTGTAGCAGAGCCTTATTATATAAACTTCTGTTGTAATATTGTTACATTTCTATGATTTTATTAATATTTTTACATATAAATATTTTAATATATCTTTTATTTATATACCGAGCCCCAAAAGTTCTGAAATATATAGCATATATTTATTTTATATAATAATAAACGTATTTTCCCAAGCTCCGCGCGTCAATAATAAAGAACAGATTGATAGCAATATACACGAAATTCAGTGAGAAAAGTAAAGATAAATAAAATACAGACATCTATATGTACAGGAAAGGCAATAACTATTATTTTGAATACCTTCGAAATATTCGAGCAGAAAAAGAAACATTTAATACAAATTTCATTGATATCAATAATCATCATTTCGAACACATTTTGTAAAATTTAAATATAATATTTTTCATGTTTTTCGTTTAATTGCAATTCAGTGAGAAAAGTAAAGATAAATAAAATACAGACATCTATATGTACAGGAAAGGCAATAACTATTATTTTGAATACCTTCGAAATATTCGAGCAGAAAAAGAAACATTTAATACAAATTTCATTGATATCAATAATCATCATTTCGAACACATTTTGTAAAATTTAAATATAATATTTTTCATGTTTTTCGTTTAATTGCAATTCAGTGAGAAAAGTAAAGATAAATAAAATACAGACATCTATATGTACAGGAAAGGCAATAACTATTATTTTGAATACCTTCGAAATATTCGAGCAGAAAAAGAAACATTTAATACAAATTTCATTGATATCAATAATCATCATTTCGAACACATTTTGTAAAATTTAAATATAATATTTTTCATGTTTTTCGTTTAATTGCAATTCAGTGAGAAAAGTAAAGATAAATAAAATACAGACATCTATATGTACAGGAAAGGCAATAACTATTATTTTGAATACCTTCGAAATATTCGAGCAGAAAAAGAAACATTTAATACAAATTTCATTGATATCAATAATCATCATTTCGAACACATTTTGTAAAATTTAAATATAATATTTTTCATGTTTTTCGTTTAATGATAATGAGCAATAAAATGTTTTATTTTCTGAAGATGTTTAGGGTGATAATAATTATTGCCTTATTTTATATAACTATGATCACCTAGCTATTGGTCGATCTTCGCACGAGTTCTTTTGCTATCTCAGCCAACATTGATCTACCTTATTTCTTATCATTGGTTTCTTTATAAAAATCTCGATTATCAGTAGTGCGAGTGCACATAATGCATATTATTAGCGCGGCGATCACAAACACTCTCGCGTTTATTAATATTCTTCTAAATGATATGAGAGCGCATAATCAATAGGTCGACAAGAGGGACCGTGAATCTCCGTAACAATTCAAATCATTTTCCCTCGACTTGACGCGTGATGAAATTAGAGGCAAATTGAACGGTCTCTTTTTTTCTTCCACGAGATATCAAATCTCTTATATCCGACAAAAGGACAATGTCTCGCAAAAGGAGAATGTCTCGCAAAAGAACACTCAGTGCTTAAAATTATCACCGGAATACCGGAGGCACGTTTTCGAAATGTTTCGAATCGAAGTAACGACCTAATATTCGTTGTACAGGGTGTGCTTGTATATAATCGCGGTAATCTCATTTTATCTCTTTCTTTCACATTTCCGCGTACAACGCGTAAAGTCATTCATTTTGTCTATTTGAGCTCACAGTCAGCAATTGTCATCTTCTGCTTTTCTCCATTGTGAATAAACACCACACAATCGTTAATGACACCAATTAGTCCAACTACTCTCCAACTCTTCGTCGTGATATTCTCCGTCTCGTGGAACTTTTTTCACAGGTTGACGGAAATAAGTGTTAAAAGCGCATCAATTGCAAACTTTTACCCAATTCAAGAATATAATTTAAGAATAAAAATATCGTGTCGGTAGAATTAAACGCGCTCACGTCAACTCGTGCGAATCCTGTGTTTACGATTCTATCGGAAACTTCTTCGTTCGCGTTCTTCAGTGGACTCTTACGTTGCATAGACATTCCTATTATCAGCATCACTTCCTTTCTGAAGAAACGTCGTTTTCTGAGATAAAGGGAAATCACGCACTTCACCGCTTTACCAACGCCCCTTCAATGTTTTTCTCGCGAAGCGTTACGAGCGTCGAAAATGTCGAGAGCAAAGTTCTTTATGCGAAATTCGAGCGGTATGATGAAACGGCAAGCTAAACAACGAACGGTACGCACGGAGGACCCCGCAAATTATTGATCGTGCATCAACGGCAGTGATAGATTTGCACGAGAGTTTCGTGTAAAAATTTAACTTTAATGTAGCCTCGAAACCCTCGATCGGATCGCGTAAGTGGAACCTGTCTTTTACAGTCATAGTAGGCGGAATATATGATGAATCCGTAACGGGAACCGTCTTAACTGCAAGTCTCTAGATTGCCTATTAAATATGTATCGCGGAGGTACGCTTGCACGAACAATTTGTTCGCGTGGATCAAGTTGCTCGAATATGCACGCGCTCGAGCCGGCCAGCTGGGTGAAAAAACAAGCTGATGAAAAAACAAGGAAAGCGCGCTCTCGAGTTTCCCCTGCATATTTAATGTGGGATCCGACTACTGAAACTTCATTAAACAGTTGCTGTCTATTCGCTATTTTTGTTTTACGATTCGTCCCCTCATCTCTCTTCCTGTCCGTAACACGTATTGTATATTATTTATTCAACGCGATCTTCCGAGCAAATGCACAGCTGCGGAAATTCAGTGTGCTAACTCGGTAGAGCTTTTTTTACAATGTACGCCACCATGAATTATTACGAGATAATCGATCGTAAGCATTGAGGCTGGGCTATAACTGGAAAACGCGAAACTCAAAGCAATTTTCAAAGAATGCGAAACACAAACATGAATTAATAAATGATACTATGATACATGAGCTGTATATTTCAAATGTTTCGAAAATATATTTTGACTCTATAACAATCAATCAAATTGATGATCTTATCGCATAATCAATATAGACATCGTACTTATGTAATAATAATCAATACAGACATCGTACTTATTATAACCGAACTCGCTCTTATTTTCACTCCATAGCTGTTCATTTCACTGCGTAGATACATGACATATAAGCCACAGATCTCTTCAGGATCTAAAAGCGATACATGAGATCGTTTTTATCCTTCGAACTAGATTCTTAAAAATTATATGCGTGTATATTATATATTTGCAAAAGCGCGTTTTTCTCATCTGTATGATGAAATTTCCTATGTTAGTAGGAATTTCGACGAATATCGGCGAATTGATTTTTTATCGCTTAGTTTAAGATTTTCACTTATTTCTTCGCCACGGTTACTTGGATTTATAACGTCAGAAGCAAGAAAAGATATGCTTAAATTTCTTGCAATATACACAGATATAAAAAATATATCTATGAAATAATATTTAAGATCGATAAAATAGATCTGTAAAACACCTTGAAAACTTTCCATCTATCTTAATAATCATAAAATTTATGTGTTATGTAACCTACCTTTTAACTATATGATTTTGTAATGTTAATTTTACGATTATTTACTAATTATTAGAACAAAAGGAAAGTTTTCGAAATGTTTTATAAATCTACTCGAACGATGTCTTTTCAGGATATGAATTTTTATTTCTTCTATTTTTAAGAACTTTGAATGTATATTTCCTCGTTTTTAACGTTATAAGTCAAGATGACCACGGAGAAGGACCAGGAATGTTAAAAATGCAAGTTTTAGATAAAAGAGAAATATAAACAAATATATGAATAAATTTAATATAATATAGAAAAAAAGTGGTGATATTCACGTAGATCACAATACATTTACTTACCTCACTAAAAAGTTCTCGGTTGAAGGAACAGAATCCGCCGGCGCTGATACGTAATGGCGACCGAGCTCGACACATGATGATTATTAACGATTTCGCTTCGTACGCCGTCAAATTGTACCAACAACAGCTATATGTTGCATGTATTAATTCCGTACTCTGAAATAATTATGTAATATCTTTTTTCAAAATTTTTTATTAATTTTGTTACTGAAATTCAAATTTCGTTCTTTCAAATTTGCATATGATTATTCATTTGATGATCGACTTATCGCCATTCATTCATTCTCATAAACTAACAATTCGTATGGAAGAAAAGAAAAATCTACGATGGAATTATACATTAGGAACTAATAGCCTATATGTGTGTATTATTCTTACATAAAATATTAGACCAAAACTTTTGATAATTTATCCTATTGGGTTGAATAAACAGTAATTTCATATTTTGTGGGCAAATGGCGTTAAAAGGAAGTGTTTAGTGCAATCTTCATTCAATGTCTGACACCATATATTTTTCTGAAAGGTTAAGTTTTCTTGCGTATATTAAGCTATTATTTGTCAAGATCCATTCAGTAATTTTTATTTGGCGACATTGTAAACATGGAGCAAAACAAACCGTATTTTTGGTGTTTGATGCTTTTCTATTTTTGCAAAGGGAAAAATGTAACACAAACCAAAAATAAATAATACATGCTGTGTATGGAGAAGATGCTGTAAGCCAACGTGTGTGCCAAAACTGTTTTGCGAAATTTCATGTTGGTGATATGACATATGAAGATGGTGAGCACTTAGGTAGGTCATTGGTGGTTAATGACGACCAAATCAAAACATTGATTGAAAATAACCTACGTTATACGACATGAAAGATTGCAGAGATAATCAACGTATCTCAAAAAAACCGTTGTGAATTATTTGCACATGCTTGGCTACGTGTCTCAACACGATATTTGGGTATATCACAATTTGAGTAAAAAAAATTTATTGGATCGCATCTCCATCTGCAATTTATTGCTTAAACACAATGAAAACGTTCCATTTTTAAACCGGATGATAATGGGCGATAAAAATTGGATTGTGCATAACAATGTAGCTCGCAGAAGATCGTTAAGAAAACAAAATGAACCGCCACAAATCACATCGAAGTAAAACATCCATACAAAAAAAGTCATACTCTATATTTGGCAAGATTGGAATGTTATATATTTGGTAGTATTGAACTACGAACGGCTTCTGCAAAACCAAACAATTAATTCCAACAGGTATTGTTCCTAATTAGACTGTTTGAAGGTAGTAATCGATAAGAAGAGTCCAGAATTAAGCAATCGTTATGGTATCATATTCCTTCAAGACAATGTTAGACCTCACGTATTTTTAGCAACCCGGCAAAAATTACTGCAGCTTGGCTGGGATGTCTTGCCTTATCCTCCGCATTCACCCGATCTGGCACCATAAGACACTTCCATTTTTTCAGTTCTCTGCAGAATTCCCTCAATGCAAAAAATTTTATTTCTTTGGAGGCCTGCAAAAAGCACCTGGAGTAGATTTTCGCCTAGAAAGCTGTGAAGTTCTGGGAGGATGGACTCTTTAATTTGCCTGAAAAATGGCGAAAAGATATCGCACAAAACGGTGCTTACATTGTTCATTAAAGATATTTTTTAATACGAAAATGTTGTGTTTGAATTTCATCCAAAAATATAAAATTACTTTATATTCAACCCAATATTTAGTCGATTTACATCAAATATAACATTTACGCTAAAATAACTGCCTATATTGGTCTTTATTGGCTTTGATTTCCAATTTGATTTCTATGTTCTTCATTCTTAGGAGAATTAATATAGTTAATTACTCAGAGGAGAAATATTAGTTGAATTAACGAGATAATGAAAGAACCATATGCGTTTTCGTTGAAGCATAATTCTTAGTTCTTACTTTTTAAATTTCTTAAAATGAAATTTTACTTGAAAAATAGATTAACCACTGGATCACTCGAATTTGAGTGATCATACAAATACTCATACAGAGAACTAAAACATATACAATTTATGTTCATTGTTATGTTGATTCAACCAATCTCTTTTCTTCGTGCGATACTATACCAAAGCATACAAATGTCAGGAGAAATATATCATATAAACGCGTGTCTTGGTCTTGTTTGTAACATGCAAGGTATCAGGCATATCTCATCTGATTACAAAAGCATTTACCATATTTAATGACTGCATTATTTCGTACTATACTCACCATCGTGCCAAATCAACTTCACTTTCTAGGAAAGTAAAGACTTCAATTTCTAAGAAGTGTAGGAAAACGTTGAGTATTTTCAGGTCTACATTATTAGTTATATGAGATATGCGGTTTCACAAATAGTGCTGTCAATATAAGTTTCTACATTCTAACACCTACTAGATCAAATTCGCAAGTACTACTTATATATTCAGGTATTATTGGAAATAATCGAATACCTGGTTACTCGAAACTAAAAACCATACAATACTCGAATAATATCCATCCGACACTTAAATTTAACCAAACTTTTTTCTCCGTGTATTATTTTCATTAGTCGTGATATCGTATAAATTTTATCCTGAGACGCATGGGCCGCGCGCAATTAAGGGGTTAGGTTAGTCTAGAGCCCTCAAAAAAGGCCTAACTTTGAGAATTTATTCTGGGAGTAAGCAAAAAGGAATCGAATTTCTCTCTTTCAGGCTTTATTAAACATGTATTTGAGTGTATAAAAAAATTTTTATATTGATATTTTGATATAAAATGACGGCTACTGGGCCAATCTTTGGAATCACCTTTTTCAAGAGGGCCTCTACGGGCGACAGTGATTCTAGGAACTCGTGCTATCTGAAACAAAATAAAGAACGGGATTTAATCTAAATAAGACTTGCTAGTAAAGTACGTATGTTTTTAGCTTTACATCAATTTTTCGCAAAATAGCGGACTTGTAAAAAAAAGGTTCAATTTTTAACCGAAAAAATGAGCAGTATATTGTTTATAAAAAAAGAAGTTGCAATGATAACAAAAAAATCGTACTTAGTTTACTAGATAATGTTACTGTGAAGCTACAGTTAAAATTTCAAGTCGATACGTGCTATAGTATCCGAGTACCATCGTCGCCCGATTTGAAAAATGCAGTTTCGAGAAAAGCGCGGTTAAAGTTTTACGTGCTGAAAATTTTGTTATACCTTCAGTCTGCGATGCCTGCGCCGTACATTTCACCTTCCATGGACACGTGGAACTCATCTTCTTCCTTTCTGGATGCCTTCTGCTCGATTCCAGACCTTCTTGCAGCATCTGAGAGCGAACGATCGGATAATTTGATGCGGTTTTGATCAGTCTCTTGACAGTAATTGTAGCAGTTCGGCCCAATTTTGATGCCTATGTTCTGCATGACTCTCATGGCACTTGTGAGTCCATCATTATAAGTACCTGCAGCAATATATACAGCTGTGTCAAGTACATTTTTGCCACTGGATGTCACTTTCGGGGCCATCGACCATACTGTAGCGTTGAAACTCTCATTACTGTTTTGAGTGAAGCCGCCTATGCAACGAGTGAGTAGGTCATCACTGGTTAATTTTTCATAAATTGGAGTTATAGCCTTGTATACTTTTTCATGTAAAGGTGGTTTATGTGTACATTCGTCCAAAGTTCCAATGGACTTAGCCCTTTGCCACGAGCACCACGAATTTTCTCCGCTCGGGCAGTGATCGTGCTTGGGCTTGGCATCTGTTAATAATTCACTCATATTGTTAACAATGATAGTTTATCAGTAAAAACCACTGTAGTCAATAAAGTAATTCGTTGAAGCAGAAAAACTAACGAAAACAAAAAGAAGCGTCCACGCGTGGCGTCGTTTTTCAGCTGACTGACCCACACACAAGCCCACACATACAGCTGTATTGATGAACTAGCACTTCCTAACGACCTTTTGGGGAACCATTAGAGCCCTCAGGCCCCGTTGGTACATTAGTGCAGAGGGTAAGAGTCGTAAAAAGGGGACAAAAGGAAGCCCGCCGCGGCAGGTAGAAAATGCGCTCGTCGCCCGCTCCGAACGCTTCAACACTACAGCGGATTGGACAGGGAAACAATTTTTTTTTCACTATTCTACCAATTGAATAACGTTTTTAGAATCCTAAAGTGTACTTTAAGCAAAAAAAAGAAATTTCAATTTTTTGAAAATCCGAGACTGGCCTAACCCCTTAAAGACCGCGCTTAAGGGACCGAACAGAGAAGAGATAATAAGGACGCAGGGGTTTATATTGCTCCTAAAGAACCTCTCAACATGTGTAAAAAGCATTTTTTTATATATTTAATATTAATTTAAATAAACGGCTTAAAAAAACAACTTTCTCGTGTCTGGATTCTAGCGTCGCATTCTGTACTCCTGCTTCACGACAACGCCAAGTTGTTTGTTGCTGTTGAGACTAAAAAAATGGTGTTTGAGTTAGATTAAGAAGTTCGTCCGCATTCAATATATTCTCCAGGCATCGCTCCATCTGATTTTGATCTATTCAAATCAATATAGTACGGTCTATTTGTTACTGTAGTACATGTAATATAGTATACTACAAGTCTATACATGTTTGCGAAATGCTGAGGAAGTGTGAAAATGGATTGATGAATGGATTATCCCAAAGATAAATAATTTTATTTGTGCGAGATCAAATTATTACCCGAAAGATGGCAAAAGGTTATTGATCACAACAGCCAATAATTTGATTAAATATGTTGTTTTCGTTATTATTTATATATAAAAATGGTTTTAATATTATACGAACTTGTGTAGGCACTTAATGTACTTTGCGATATTTTAGTATTATTATATTTTGCGAGTTTTTTTGAACATCCTTTGGGTGCCTTGAAAGATATCCATAGGATATTTTAAATATAAACATACACGAATACTTGTACATGTTGGATGTTGCATAAACATACCACCCATTACGACGGGTTGTCTACCCAAAGGTTCGCGCGTCCAGCTAATAACTTCGGATTTATTGATATACAGTTTGTTTGACAAAAGCGTGTACGGCGAAACTTGAAAACGACTTGGTTAATAAACTGAAAAAATACACACATTATGCATGATATAAACTGTAATACTTTAGTATTAATAAGTTGTCCAGCATACTTTCTACTAATTT